TCAGCCCTAGCATGACCACTAGGCCAATCACCATAGTAACCTTTCTTGTTCTCATAATTCCTGTTTTTTCCTCCCATGTCCACGTCCATTCTTTATGATTTTCTATATTCCGCTTGCAAGAATTATTCTCCTGCCCCTTTCCTACATCCTTGTTCTGCAAACTAAGATCATTCACTTTTCAGGTAGGTCTCTTATAGCTTTGGCTATCTTGCAATAGAGGATATCCTTGAAGTTCTGACTCTTTTGTCTCTGTCTGCCTAGTGCTGGAATTACAGGGACGGGAACACCACAGCACTGCTGTGGAGTAAACCCAGGGATTCATACATGCTAGGCAAGCACTCTAGTTTGGTTTTGGTTTTTCAAGACAAGGTTTCTCTGTAGCTTTGGAGTCTGCCCTGGAACTAGCTCTTGTAGACCAGGCTGGTCTCGAACTCACAGAGATCCACCTGACTCTGCCTCCCAAGTGCTGGGATCAAAGGCATGCGCCACCATCAAATCTCAGTGTTGGATAACCAGATGAGTCGAGGCAATGTTGAGGAAGCAGACACAGTGCTGCTGGGCCTCTATCACAGGGTTCCCTAGGAGACCCTAGGTACCTCCTCTACCACATCGATTCTTATCACAATGCATGTTAATTGTATGCGAGGGGGCATGGGCCCATATTTATCATCATAATTGGCAAGGTGGTACCTAAGCATTATCAAGGATTCAATAGACACATTGAATTTCAGCCTAGCAGCTGGATGCTGGTTCTGAAAGAGAAAAGGATTTGTAGGGAAGGTTAACATTTCACTTTGGTACATACTGAATTTGTATGTGTAAGACTTTGGGAGTTCTCTGGTGGACAGTGGATAATATGACCAGAGTGCTAGAGAAAGATCTAGACTGGAGGTAGTGCTTAGCAGGATGCAGGGGCCATTTGAGAGAGTCCGATCACCCACTGAGGGAGCAAACATACACAAAGTGCAGAGGACACAGCTCAGATGGGCTGCTGTGGTTTAAGAGGAACAGGAAAGGATGCAGCGCGGCAGAGGAAAGGGCAGTTGGGCCTCATGCCACGGAAACGTCAAATGACTTAAGGATTGGGAAGTGTCTGCAAGGAGTGGGTATCCTTGGAAGAGGGGAGAGGAAATGAAGATTGCTTTGTGTAGTCAACTTCAAGAAGTTTGGGGGGGAGGAACTAAAAGGAGGGCTGGAGAGACAGGTTTTTGTGGTTTTGATTTGCTCTTTGAGCCAGACTTTTGACTAGACAGCTCAGACTGACCTTCAGCTCTGTTCCTAGCTCAGCCTCTCAATGTAGCCCCAGTGGTCCTAACTTGCTCTGTAGACTGGCCTTGAACTCACAGAGATCCTCTGCCTCTGCCTCTAAAGTGCAGGGATTAAAGGTAGGTGCCACCATGCCTGGCTGCTATCTCAACCCCTCAAATGCTGAAATTTACGAGTATGGCGCCATACTCTCGTAGAAGAAAATTTTTAGAGAGACTTGGAAAAGTTTCAAAATGGGTAAAAGCCGGTGGTTAAGAGCACTGGCTGCTCTTGCAGAGAACCCAGGTTTGGATCCCAGCACCCACACAGCAGCTTACAACTGTCTGCAACTCCAGTTCCAGGGGCTCTGGCACCCTCCTCAGGCCTCCATGGGGGTTCTCCATATATTCCTGGCTGTCCTGAAACTCACTCTGTAGATCAGGCTAGCCTTGAACTCACAAAGATCTGACTGCCTCTGCCTTCCAAGCATTAGAGCTAAAGGCATGTGCCACCACTGCCTGGCCAAAAAAAAAAAAAAAAAAAAAAAGGCCAGGTATGGTGTCCATTGGACAGAGCACACCTTTAATCCTAGCATTCGGGAAACAGGCAGTAGGTGGATCTCTCTGAGTTCAAGGTCATAGCAAGTTCCAGGACAGCCAGCACTACATAGAGAAACCTGTTTCAAAAAAAAAAAAAAAAGAAAAGAAAGCCAGGTGGTGGTGGTACTGTCTACAGAGCAAGTTCTAGGACAACCAGAGACACACAGAGAAACCCTGTCTTGGGGAAAAATTAGCAGTGTAGATTTTAACTGTTGGCAATTCCAAACAACTCAGTCCCACTGTCCCCTAAGAAGAAACTGATGAGCTGATGTTAGCCCCCAACCTATCTTTTTTCTTCCTTTTTTTGGGGGGGGAGGGGGAATGGGTCTCAGTGTGTAGCCCTGGCTGTCCTGCAACTCCCTATGTAGGCCAGGCTGGCCTCAGATCCACCTGCCTCTGCCTCCTGAGTGCTGGGGACACAGGCTGCGCCAGCACACCAGCCACCTGCTGTGACATCTTGGCCCACAGCTGCATAGTTCCCAGTGCAGTCCTAATTAGTAAAATCACTGTGTCATCCTAAGGCCTGTCCCTCCCTAGGACACCCACCGATGGGCTCATTCCCTGCCTTTACTTGCAGTTCCTGGCCAGCAGGCTCCTTCCACACAGGCGGTGCCAGTCGGTTCTCGTTAAGAATGGAAATAAAGCTGTTCAGGAGATGGCTCAGCACTTAAGGGGGCTGGCTGCTCTTCCAGAGGACCTGGGTTCAATTCCCAGCATGCACATGACTGCTTACAGCTGCCCAAAACTCCAAATCCAGGGGATCCAACACCCTCGTCTGGACTCCTCGAGCACTAGACATTTGGATGGTGCAGACAGACATGCAGACAAAACACACAAAACCTGGGGACCCCTCCAAAAGGCTGAGGCATAGAGGACCACACCCCCAAAATGTGTCCTAGGTGGGACTGAATGATTCAAACCCTTCTCTCTCTTTACCCCTTTCTTGTTCTTACAGTCTGTCTGTCTGTCTGCCTGCACAGGAAGCATGTAAGTCTGAGGCACTCGGTCACGGAAACAGAGGCCTGTGCAGTTATTGAAGGGCCATAAGTCATACCTTTTATTAGTCATTATCTCTTGTACTGTTGCCCTCCCTGTGTTCCTCTTGGCCTGATTCCTCCTCCTCCTCCTCATGGTCTTTCAGTGCGTGTCCAGCTGAGGACTCCCACCCGGCACCCAGGACACTCTGCCCCCTCCCCTGGATTTCAGTTGGCCCCCACGAGGTATTTGGAGGGAAAACTTAGCAAGCTTGGTCATCTTTTCTGATTTCCTGCCCTTCCCAGCCATGTAGGCCTACTGACCACATCCTCTCCTACCTCATTTCTACACTCATTTCCTCACCAGAGCATCAGTGGCGCAGTTCTCAGCCCCCAAACCCATGCTGACCTTTCCCTGTCAAGGGTGTCAGTTTACTCCTTTTCACTGCAGGGTCCCTGTCCTCACTCACCCAACACACCACACACACCCTGGCCGTCTGCATGGAGGCACCCACTTCTATTTCCTTCTGGAACTTCAAGGCCCCCTTTCCCACAGGTGACAGACAGCCCTGAGGCTGACCACAATGCTCTCGGGCCGTGGGTGGCCAAGTATTTGGGGAAATCTAGGATTGAGCCTACAAAGCCCTTCTCAAGGACCTGAGCGGTGCCCTCCATCCCTTCACGTATACTGGGGCAGATGGCAGGCAGGTGTCTCTGGCTGAAGGTGACCGGTTCCTACTGCTTCGGAAGACGAACTCGGACTGGTGGTTGGCACGGCGCCTGGGAGTGCCCCCCAGATCTCAGCCCGTCTTTGTCCCAGCAGCATACACGACAGAGGAATCGCTCTCCTGCTCTAGACCAGTGGATGCTACCCACAATGCATCCCTCTGGAGTCCTGGTAAGTATACTGCAAGCTCTTCCCTGTCACCTTCCTGTCTTCCCGGCTTGAGTTACACGGTGGGTTTACCTCTAGCTTCTGCTAACCCCCTTGTCTTGCTTTCCTTTGATAAGTCTCAGGGTTTACACACTCACAATAAATACTCACACACTCACACACACAGCATAGTGGTATCCCCCTTTATCCCCTCTAGCTCCAAGTTGTCTAGATCTCAAGTCATTTCCGGCAGCTTTCCTCGCATTCCTTGACAACTCAGCCAAGGCCTCAATCTGTCAGCGCCTGCCACTCCTCCCTGTCTCCTTTTGCAGGGACAAAGCTCTTTCACAGCCCCCTGGAGGAAGTCTACCTGTCTCAGGAGCCCCGGGGCTGCTTCCCAGCAGCCTCCTCCCGGTCCCCACAACACGGGCAGGTGTGTCAGCATGGTCAGCTTGAGGCCCTGCTTCCTGAAACCCCTCCAGGAAGGGCCGAGAGGAAGATCGCCCTCCCAGGAAGGCTGGGTGACAGGGGCCAGTGCTGTCACGGTGAGTTACACTTCATCAGAGTGTGGCCTGTCAGCTACACGACAGCAGGGGCCCTGCTCTGGCCACGCTGGTAAGGGGGACAGACAGCTTCCCTCCCTTGGAAGGGCTGAGAGTTCGAGAGTAAGTGAGGCTGACAAATGCAATGGAGAAGAGAGGCTGAGAAGTCCCTGCACACACAGGAAGAGTGACCACGAGTAAAACAGGGCATGAGAGAGGAGAGCAAGCACCGCAGGCCCTGAGGGACAGGTAGTCCATCGGGACAGGAGGGAACAACGGACTGCTTTTCCTCTGGTTCTGACCCCTCGCCCGGGGCAAGGTTTGTCCTCTGTCCAGTCTCCAAGTCAGAACAGCAGCAAGTTCCTTCTCAAGTCTTAAGTCCCTCGTTCAGCCCCTCCCCTCCAGGTCTACTTTGCCAGTTGTATTTCCAGCCAAGGTCTCCTCTGTATGTGGTAGGCCCGGCTGAGCTAGGCTCCTTAGGCAGGCCAGACTGACCTCAAACCCGTGCGATCCTCCTGCCTCAGCCTCCCCAGTGCCGGGCTTACACGCCAGCCTGGCTCCCACGTCCCCTGTGTCCTGTGGATGAGAAAAGGGCCCTCTCTCAGCCCCCCCAGCTTGGCCTCTCACGTCTTGGTGCCTTTTACTCTGAAAGATGTGAGGAAGGGGTACTCTCTCCGCCCCCCACCCCACCCCAGCCGGTTCCCCTTTCCTGCAGCCCTGGGGCGGGGTTGCGTGGGGGAGGAGGGAAGTTGGCAACAGGAAGTGAGGAGAACAGCAAAGAAGGCTGTGCGGGGAGAATTTTTTAAAAAGCATCCGGGGACTGGGGTTGCTACCCCTGTCCCAGGGTCACCCTGGCCGGGAGCTGAAGGTGAGTAAATGGGAGAGAGATTGGGAGGGACAGGGGCAGAGTAACCTCCTCCCCCACTTCCCTGACAGGCACCATCCCCCCCCCTCCCGTCAGAACTCCCTCTGTATGCAATCTGGTTGGCCTTCTCTGACATCCAGGGTCCCAGTCCCAAGACCTTGCATCCCCTCCCCCCCCCCAGGCTGGATGCCCAGGAGCAGCTCCCAACGGGACAGAATTCTAAAGAGAAAGGCTGTCTCTTCCTTCAGCTATCAGACCTCTGAGGCACGGACCCCAAGGAATTAGAATGGCCCCAGGAGCCTTATGCTGGGGAAGTAGAAGGCGTCGGTCCTGATACTAGCCAGAGAAGGAACGTGTCTCCCTGGAGGACAGCTCTTAGAACTTGTCAGGTCTGCTGGGTCCTGGTGTAGCAGGGAATGGAGCCGACACAAAGATGGGCAAGGACCACACTGCTCGGTTTCCATTACCCCCTCCTCCCAGTCAGGGCCTGGAACTCGCTCTGTAGGACCAAGCTGGCCTCGGACTCACAGGGATCCCCTAACCTGCTCCCTGAGTGCTGAGATTAGAGGTGTGCAGTCCTGTGCCTGGCTTTATCGTTATCTCTTGACCTCTATTCAAACTTAACCCTCATGTTAGACCCAAAGGGCAGCATTGGGGTCGTTGTATTTATTTTTATGACCGATCACTTCTCAGTGTGGCCACACTGACTAAATAAACATTTTATATGTCCAGTGTTTTGCCAGCTTGTATACCTGTGTACCACCATGCATGCAGTGCCGGCAGAGACCACAAGAGGGCGTCCCATCTCCTGGGACTGCAGTTAGTTTTTTAGCCCTAATGAGGATGCTGAAAATCCAGCTGCACATGCCCTCCCTGCCTTTCCAGAAGGCAGCCAGTGCTCTTAACCACTGAGCCATCTCTCCAGCCCCAGATAAATCGTTCTCTGCCCTTTAGCATTGTTTCTTTAATTGATTATTGGGGACAAGTGGCAGAGCTTAGACCGCCAGAGCTGCCAGGACACGGGCCTCAGCCCCCAGTAACACCTGGACCTCACCTCTGGATGCCGCCCCTGTGCCACAGCCATATTCGAGACACCACTGTCGCCCTGCCTGTCTCACTGTCCTTCAATCTCCTTTTCCCATTTCCCTCTGGGGCCCTCAGAGGGTCAGGTCGCGAGAAGTGTTGAGCTGCTGAGGGACCAGCCGAATGTTGTTTTGTCTCCCCCCAAACCCAGAAACCCGGCTCCATGGAACAGACAGAGACCCTGACCAGGGGTATCGGGGCCCTACACCCTCAGGAATGGCTTGATGCACAGGTGAGGAGCCCCGCCCCCCCCCACGCGTCCCAGTTAACTTTTTATCACTTCTCCCTTAGGCAAGGCGTTCTTCATTCACTACCCACTGTAACAGTAGCCACACCCCTTCCTCTTGCAACCCAGGGCCTCCAGATAGAGGGTCCCCTCTACCTGTCTCAATTCCCCATCCTCAGGGTTTACCGAGCCTCAGCCGAAGCTCCCCCTGGGGAGACGTGTCAGACCAGCGGGCAGCCCTGCAGCCCTGTCCGGCTGAGCCACACCTGGACGACCCCCATGTGAGTGTTTCCTGTCTCTGCACCCTGACTCCTGCTCCTCCACGACTCTTCTTTTCTGGATGCTTGCTTTTCTCCCGTCTCCCCCACCCCCAGACTTTAAGGGACCTCACCCCTTGGACAGAACCCTTGGCGGCTGTGGGTGGCACAGGGTGGCTGGCAGACAATACCCCTTATCTTTCCCAGGAGGAAAAGTCAGGCCTGATCAACATGACCAAGATTGCTCAAGGAGGTCGCAAACTCAGGTGAGGACTGGGGACAAGTGGCAGAGCTCGGATTGCTAGAGGTCTGGGCTGTCGGATTTCACAGGGTGAAAAAAAGCGCAGGCACTCCAGGTCAAATTCTAAAATGACCTTTCCACACCTCTACGCCTCCCCTCCCCCACAGGAAGAACTGGGGCCCGGCTTGGGTGGTGTTAACTGGCAACAGCCTTGTGTTCTACCGAGAGCGGCCGCCGCAGTCTGCGCCCTCCCAAGGCTGGGTGAGCATCGGCCAGGGGATCAGCAAGGGGTCTGGGGGTTACCGGTTTGCCGACTGAGGTGGGGGCGGCGAGGAAGGAAATGGAGAGGGAGGTAAAGCCAGGAGGAAGCGGCTCACCTGCCCCACCCCCACCCCGCCCCAAGAGGGAGGCGGCGAAGAAACAAACTGTTAGTTAGCCTCAGTTTCTCCCATCGTGGCCAGGCGCCAGCTGGAAGCCGGCCGGAAAGCAGCGTGGACCTGCGCGGGGCTGCCCTGGCCAGCGGGCGCCACCTGTCCAGCCGCCGCAACGTCCTGCACGTGAGCGCCCTCCCGCGCGCGCCCCCAAGGACGTGGGGACCCAGTGGGCGGGGTGACCCGAGGGCGCGCGTCCTCGCGGCGTTCCAGGCTCTGCTCGCCGACTGAAGCCTCTCCCCGCCCGGTCCCCAGATCCGGACGGTCCCCGGCCATGAGTTCCTGCTGCAGTCGGACGAGGAGCCGGAGCTGCGAGCCTGGCACCGCGCGCTGCGGGCGGTCATCGAGCGGCTGGTGAGCAGGGTGCAGACCCCTGAAGGGAAGGGGGGACCCGCGAGGGACGAGGGAGCGGGGAAGGGGCCCTGAGCTCGACTCAGGCTGGAATGTGGGGGGGGCGCCCATGCTCTCCCGGCCGCGGGGGTCTAGGACCGCGAGAACCCCCTGGAGCTGCGTCTGTCGGGCTCGGGACCCGCAGAGCTGGCGGAGCTGAGCGCCGGTGAGGATGACGAACTGGAGTCAGAGCCGGTGTCCAAGCCACTGATCCGGCTCAGCAGCCGCAGAGTTTCCAGTACGAAGTGGGGCTGAGCTGGGCGGGCTGGGGTGCAGGGAAGGAAGGAAGGGTCCTCCGGCTGGAGCTCACGCTCCTTGGTGTGGCAGATCGCTGCGCAGAGGGCACTGAGCAGAAGAACCGCGTGCGGAACAAGTTAAAGCGGCTGATCGCCAAGAGACCAACCTTGCAGAGCCTTCAGGAGCGGGGCCTGTTCCGAGGTAGGCGGGGCTGGGCCACCTGGGGCACTCTGCCAGCTTTACTAGGGTTTCTGTTTTGTGCAGTTTTTTGTTTTTGTTTTGGGTTTTGTTTTGATTTTGTTTTTCCCTGTGTTGCTTTGGACCCTGTCCTGGAACTCACTCTGTAGACCAGGCTGGCCTCGAACTCACAGAGATCTGCCTGCTTCTGCCTCTGCTGGAATCAAAGACGTGCACCACCACTGCCCGGCATGTCTTGTGTAAATCTTGGTTTTCGGGTTTCATTATTGTTGAAACAGCCTCTCAGTATCTAATCCCAGGGTCGCTCTCAAACTTGGGCAGTTGGGATTACAGGTAAGAGGCCCTACGATGGGTGGTAGTGCCTCACACCTTTAATCCCAGCACTCTGGTAGAGCGAGGCCAGCCTGGTCCACCCATGGAGTTTTGGGACAGCCAGGGCTACACAGAGAAACCCTGTCCGGAAAAACAAAAACAAAACAAAACAGAAGCGCCATGCCTGGCCTGAGAAGTGTGTTTTCAGGATGTTTGTATTCCCAATCTTAGCATTAACCAAAACTCTAGTGAGACTCAAAGTAGAACTTCCAAACATCCCTGCTTTCCCCCTACTCCTCGTTGTTTGAGGAGCAGAGGGAGGGCACCATTGCTCCCCACGTGACTTTACTGATGTGTCCCCCCAACTCATCTGCAGACCAGGTGTTTGGTTGCCGGTTGGAGTCGCTGTGCCAAAGGGGAGGGGACACCGTGCCCAGCTTCGTCCGGCTTTGTGTGGAGACTGTGGATAAAAAAGGTGGTTTTCCCAAAGACTCCAAAAATCTCCCCTTTCAAGCCCCAGATCCCCTGGCCCCATCTCTACCCTCTCTTCCTCAGATCACAGGCACGCACGCACGCGCGCACGCACGCACGCACGCGCACGCGCACACAGGCTTCCTCATCTTCCCGGTTCCTCTCCTCCTAGGTCTAGATGTGGACGGCATTTACCGGGTGAGCGGGAACCTGGCTGTGGTCCAGAAACTTCGCTTCCTGGTAGACAGAGGTGAGATGCCTGCAATAGTGGATCTAAGAGCCGGGGACCTCAGAGCCCAGATTGGTTCTGAGGGAGGGAGGGGCAGTTGCGCGTCTCTGGTACTGGTCTGTTTTTGTGCACGTTACAGAGCGGGCAGTAACCTCCGATGGGAGATATATGTTCCCCGAACAGCATGGACAAGGTACTTACGTGGGAAGCCACTTACACACCCTCTTTGTACCCCATGGGACCCCCATGTCTGGCCCCTGCAAAGGCTGTCATCCCCATCCTCTCCTTCGTTGCCCTGCCCATGGTCACATTCTTGTGACCTGTCTTGACTGGATTCCCCCTAAGTTCCGGACCTGACCTTTGAGACTGGGTTTCTCTGGTTCTCTTGAGCCTGAAACCCAAGAAACCTCTTCATCCTTCTAGAAGGCAAATTAGATTTAGACAGTGCCGAATGGGATGATATCCATGTGGTCACCGGGGCCTTGAAGCTTTTTTTCCGGGAGCTGCCAGAGCCTCTGGTGCCCACAACACTGCTGCCGAGTTTTCGCGATGCCCTGGGTAAGAGTCAAGAGCTTTGGGCAGCACACCTACACCTGACCCAGGAGGACATGTATAGCGAAGGACAGATCAGAGGGTCCCTTCCGTCTTTACTTACAAGGGTGGGAAATAGTTTACATGCCAACTCTAGTTGCTTTGGGGGCGGAGGTGGAGAAATGTGTGTGCATGTTTAGAGGGCCGGGCTGAAGAGAATTCTGAAAGTCACAGCTGAGCCACGTGAAGGAGTGGAGGCCTGTAGCTCAGCAGTAAATTTTGTGCTTGTTGTGCAAGGCTGTGGGTCGAATCCCTTGTTCCAGCGTGCGTATGGGGTAAGGGTGGTGGTACTAGCAAGCGATATCATTCATGGACGTGGGAAAGAGTGAATTTACCCTAACCTCAGTCCCCTGTCTTTCCCGTTGCTCTCTCTAGAACTTTCTGAGCCAAACCAGTGCCTCTCTGAAATAAAAAAATTAGTGGACTTGCTGCCAAAGCCCAACCATGACACACTGCAGTATATCCTGGAGCACTTATGCAGGTCAGGACCTGAGCAGCCTTGTTCATGCTGGGGAGGACGGAGTGGGCGTCCCATCGGGACTCTGATCACAGAGCCTGGAGATAGGGGCACACCGACATGACGTGTGTCCAAGCGCGTGATAAGACCAGGGTTGCTATGAGAGGAACAAGGGATTCTGTCTCCCTCCCTGGCCCAAGTCTCCCACTGGGTAGGGTGGCTTGTTTAGCTGAACACAAGCCTCTCAGGTTGTGAGCAGAGAGGACTCTGGGGTTGTCCCTGGAGCTCGGAACTGAGCACTTGAACCCGACTGTGGCTCCAGCTTGTGTCCCGAAGCTCTCTCCACTGGCCCATCTCTGCACCCCTCTAAGTCTGTACTCGGTTCCTTCAGCCAGCATGTGGAGGGGTCCCAGAGCGATCTCTGCCCTGCTGACCTAATGGGGCCATGCTGCCTGGTAGCGGTGTTATACTGGTTCATAGTGGGTAACTGTCGCCCATCTCCCCTCTCCTTGGCTTTGTCCCCAGGGTGATTGCTCACTCAGATGAGAACCGAATGACGGCCCACAACCTGGGAATTGTGTTTGGACCAACGCTGTTCCGCCCGGAGCAGGAGACCTCTGACATGGCCGCCCACGTGTTCTACCCTGGGCAGCTGATCCAGCTCATGCTTAATAACTTCCATAGCCTCTTCACCTGACACGGGTGGATGGGCCAGGGAAAGGGCATCTCCTGCCATCTGTCAGCCAGTCTTCTGATTCGGAGACATCCCGTGAGTCCTCCCAAAGGACACTCTCTCACCTGAACCTTTTTTTTTTTTTTTTTTTTTTTTTTTTTTTTTTTTGAGACAGGATTTCTCTGTGGCTTTGGAGCCTGTCCTGAAACTAGCTCTGTAGACCAGGCTGGCCTCCAACTCACAGACATCCGCCTGCCTCTGCCTCCCTTGTGCTGGGATCAAAGGCCTGTACCACTGATGCCCAGTTCACCTGAACTATTAGATGTGGGGGTTTTCTGGAGAGGAAGGGGCCATGAGCCCCACATTCTCTCCCCAAGGTGACGAATACGGCACTTGATCTCAGCGTTCCTTTATTATCAGGAAACTGTCATTATTAAAGTGTTCTCCTGGCACATACATAGACTAAATACAGTCCCCAGCCCGATCCTCCCATCCCTGGGCACCCTGGGAAACAGGATCCATCCAGTTGGGATTCCTTATCCTTTTAGGCACTAGAGTTGAGGAATTGTGTCTCTCCAGGCAGAGACCCCAGTAAGACACTCATGTTACCCACTGCCATGTTGGGGGTCCCAGAGGGAGGTGGGGTGTTTTTAGAGCTGGCCCCTTGCTCATGGGAAGGAGGAGGACTCAGCCCCTGGGCCTCATCCAGAATAGCCACGAAGTCCAGCTGAGTGCTGTCCAGGTCGAGAGAGTCCAGAGGGTTGGACACTTGCCCTTCAGGGGGAGGGTACAAGGCAGGGCCTGCTCCCAGTCTGCCCACTTCTGGATGGCCACAGCTGGGGTTGGTGCCCCCCACCTTGAGAGGTCCATAGCAAGACGGCAATGGCGGCAGAAGCCGGGGTGGTGCTGCTGCTGGCTTATGGGAAGGCCTGTTCACCGCCACCGCGAACGTCTCATGGCACGGTGAAGGGTCAGGAAAGGAGCCGGGCTTGTGACTGGCCAGAGCAGGTGCAAAGCCAGACCCATACGTAGCTGCCGGACCCTTGACAGGGCTCTGATTAGCCTGGGGACCCCCCAGAAACTTGGAGCTCTGATACGGAAGTTCCTGATTGGGGAGCCCTCCCCGGCCCTTGCCCTCCCACAGCAATTCCTGCTGCGACTGAACATAATTACACACGAGCTGAGCTTTGAGCTGTCCTGCGGAATGAGAGGGGGAGTCGAAATTGAGGCCAGGCCTGTGTTCTGGGGGAAGATAATCATGGGGAGGCCGAGGGTAGGCACCTGACTGGGGGTACTGGGGAGGAGGGGGTTGGGAGTAATGGGAAAACGGAGGTTGTGGGCCTGGGGGCCCCTCAGTGGGGTGGGCATTGAGGCAGGGTGCCAGTCCTGTGGAGTTAGACCCCACCAGGCACCCTTGTTCTGGTTTTACCTGCACTTGTCCGTAATGTTCAAGCCGAGGACACTGGCTATAGGCTCCACTTGGAGCCTTAGTGCTGGGATACATCCCAGAATGGGAAGGGAACTCACTCCATGTTTCTGGGGTGGGGTCAGGATAGGAGGCCTGCTGGGGACAGTGGCTAGGGCCATAGCTGGTCAGTGGACCAGGCCCAAGAGGCAGGGACCCCGGACCCCTAGCTCCATAGGGCTCAGCCACCGTTCCCTCTGGTGCCCCGCATCCCAGAGAGTCGCATCCCAGAGAGTCGGCAGATGGGAAGTCCACATACGGGTTCAGACCATTGCCCATCATGGAGGCCCCAACCTCTGGCTCCTCCTGTAGCCCTCTAGTGTCCATAGCAACATTCTCAGTGATGCTGGGGGGCTGTGGTGAATAGACAGAGGTAGGGAGGTGAGGGTCGACGTTCCTTCCCGTTGCCACGCTAGGGGGCGTGTGAACGCATCCCAAGCTCTTAAACCGCTGGACTCTGGCTGGAGCGGGGTGGTCAGCAGCCCGGGCCGGGTCACTGGCCCTCCGGGCGACCCCTGCATCGGGGTTGTATCCCGGGTACTCAGCTCGGCTTCTCCAAGAAGGTACAGGGAGACTTCCCATCCGATCCAGGCTGTGTGCCGGCGCGGGTGGGGTACCACTGCCCCTGGCTGAAGCATATCTTGCACGGAGCATGTAGTGCTGGGCAGGCGTGAGGCCAGGTAGGGAGGACACTCCGTTCTCTGGTGGGGATCCAGGCGGGAAAGGGGAGGCCAGCGAGGAGCGGCGGCTGACGGTGTAGGCCGAACTGATGCTGCTGGAGCTGCTGCTGCGGCGGTCAAGGGAGCCTGGGGGTCCCAGCCGGCGAGACACAGGTGTACCTGCAAATGACAGGAGAAGGGAAGGGGCTAGGGAAACCCTGTGGGCCCCACCCTGCCTATCCCACAGGACAGCCTTGACCTGGAACCCCAGGGTAAAGAGTCCTAGGCTTCTTCACCCTGACCCCGCTGTCTGTCTCAGCAATTCAGGCGATTACAAGTGTGTACGGTACAGCGGCAACGCATCGCAAGTGCAGTGAACACTTGCTGCTCCTGTCCCCACAGTGGTGGGACTTCAGGGGCACAACCGCCACCCCAGATACATATTACAATTCCCGATCGATGGAGGAAAAATGCCTTCAAGGAAGGGGAAATATTGCAACTCAAAGGGTGACCCCGACACCTCAGCCTCTGGACAGGCCCACAGCTTAGCTCAGCAACACCTCCCACACCCAGGTCTCACCAGCATGGGCCAAACTGGGCAGTTTGAGGCCCCGGGACCCTAACGGCCGGAGCTGATGCAGCTGGTCCAGCCTGAGGTTCTCCAGGCGGTGAAGTGTGGAAAGGCCAGTGCCAGCAAGGCAAGGTCCTTCATCCAAGCTGGACAGGTCCTCAGTGCTGCCCCCGGCGTTGCCAGTCATCTCCACACCGCTGTCCGTATTGGCTGCGCTGCCGGCTGGGGAGTGGTCGCTGCTGCAGGAAGATTGTGCTCCGGGGCTCTGCTGCGGTTTCTGGGGGGAGGGGGGAGGAGGAGAGTGGAGAGCGGCACCCACCCCCACTCCCTCTTGGGGAGTGGCTGAAGCCGGTGTCCCGGTGATTGCAAGGGTAGAGAGGACTAAGCCGGCAGGGTTAGGGTGAACTGGAAGAAAATGGGATGGGTCCCACGGTTCTACGACCGTGACAACTTGTCTTCTCCTGTTGGCTCTTTTGAAGAAAACACAAAATACACACACCTAAGGCTTGTAACTATATAGTTAAGTGCTACTTAAGAGCGAGTCCATAGGGGGCTGAGGATTTGCTGAGTGGTGGCGAATTCACTCACGTGTGTTCATATTCCCAGATGGCACAACCCCCCCCCAAAAAAATATGTTGGACCAATTAAACATCTGACGATTGTAACGGCACCCTTAGATCTGGGGTCCATCATGGAGCAACCCTAAAACTAGGGACAGGCAGGCTGGCCGAAGAGGACTGCATGTAGGAGGGGATGGTTCTAGGAACAGGCTGGAAAGAGGTCAGGCATGGCGTGGGGTATGGAGGCAGGACTTCCCAGGCTGGCTCACCATGGTACCCTCCGGCACAGTCAGTCTGCTCTCTTCCCTTATGGGCCCTCCTTCCCTTTCCCGCTTGGGCTCCACCGTGGAAAGGGACGGGGCCCGTGGCAAAGGGCCATCCCCTCGATGCCTCTTGGTCACGTGGGCATCAGGCCCATGCACCGTCTTGACATGTTTACGGAGTGAGCTGGGATCCGTGTAGCGCTTGGTGCAGCCGGGCAGCTTGCACACGTATGGCTTCTGTGGAGTAGCATTGCCGAGCCGGAGGGAAGGCAGAACACAAACAGAATGGGGTAAGTGAGGGAGGACACACAGCCTTCGGGCCAGTGAGAGGGATGTGAGCCCCTGGCGGAGCAAATCAGGAGAGGCTTATAGCAGGGTTAAGAAAACACATGGTGCGAGCCTAAGAAAAAAAGAGGTGATCCCCCTCCCCCCAAGGCTGTGAGGCCACATAAATCCAGAAGTTGAAAGGTCAGGGGTCTACTGTACATTGACTTTCCCCAATGTTTCTGGTATAAATCACGGTGTAGGGTCGTTGCCAGGGGAGGCGGGTATCCCTTAGGAGGGAAGAGTTTGCTGGGGCACTCACCTCATTGGAGTGCGTCCGATTCTGGTGCTTGGCGCGGTCACTGGCGTTGCTGAAGGCCTTGCTGCAGCCTCCATGCTCACACATGTACGGCTTCTCACCCGTATGGGACCGAAGGTGCGTCTTCAGGTTTTCTAGGCGGGAGTATGACTTACGACACCCTTCAAACTGGGGGACATGAGAGGGGTCAAGCAACGTTTCTCAGACAGGACCCAGAGATTTAAGGTTTACACCAGAGAATATAACTAAAATGGGGGGGGCCCACGGGAACCCAAGAGAATCGCAGGAGTTGGTCGGGCACAAGGGCAGGTGGGTGAACTGAAGGCAGAGAAAGCTGGAAAGGGTAGGGGACGGCCAGCCGTGAAGCAGGTCCCCCAGCACAGAGCTGCCCTCAGCAATGATGCCGGGCCTGCCCACCAGGCAAAATATTAGCAAGAGTACTAAGGAGCCTACAGTAAGGGATTCATAAGTATGTTTTTGTTTATTTTATTAATATTTTGGTTTTTCGAGCAGAGTCTCACTGTGTAGCCTTGTCTGTCCTGGAACTCACTCTATAGACCAGGCTGGCCTCGAACTCACAGGGATCAGCTTGCCTCTGCTACCCAAGGACTGAGATTAAGGGTGTGTGCCACTAAAGCCTGGCACATGTTTTCATTTCTTTTAAAATCAAAGGGAAAAATAGGTTTTTCTGATTTGAAACTTAATTTTGTTTTGCTTTTGCTTGCTATTTATTCATCTGTGAGATTGAGTGTCATCTCTAACTAGCCTGGAACTCATCATGTAGCCCAAACTGGCTTTGAACTCACAGAGATCTGCCTGCCTTTGCTGCCTAAGTGCTAGGATTAAGGGTATGCACCATTAGGCCCGGTTTGATTTGGTGTTTCTTTTGAGACAGAGCCTCAAATGCTTGACCCTCCTGCCTCAGCTTTCCAAGTGCTAGGGTTACAGGCATATACCACCATACCAAGAACATATTTTAGGGCCAGCGAGATGGCTCAGTGAGTAGAGAGAGGCATGTGCGGCC